ATACATACATATGTATATATGGATAACATATCGCTCACCAGACCTGTGTAATGATTGAATCAATTGAGTGTGCATTCTCATTTTTTTCGTTTCAAAAATGTGATTGTTTGATTTAAAAAATTTAACAACCACTCTTGAGATTGGTTACAAATTGTAAACACAAAATATGTAGTGTGTTATGGAATGGTTGACACCCATTCACATAGAGAATGTGAATGCAAAAAAAGAACTCAATCATGTATGATTGGACGTTTATGGGAATGCAATCTGTCAATATCATTCAGTACTAATACTATTTGTTGTATCAGGGTTGAAATTTTTGTACTCAAAATGTGAAACCAGAAGATTGCCATCTCCCTCAAAATAAGTAAACAAATAAATATTTGGTGCTAAAATATTTTTCTAAGTGTTTGGCCGAACTTCTGCTCAAACTTGAGGCATGAGTTCTGATTTTATAAGAAGAGTTTTCAAGGCAGAAATATACTCGAAGGTTTGCCATTGCGTGCCGAAGGACGACTGCTATTTTGGGTTATGATCTGACCAGGTATTTAACCATGGTCCTATGGAGTGGAAGTACGCACATGTAATCACTCTGCTACGGCGGCCGCCGTAAGTACATGCTATACATATCGTCGTTTAAAGTACAAAACCGCGTATCAAGAAAATGCAAAACCGCGTAATTGCATAAATTATTTTCTAGAGAGTAAAGTCACCCATATTTCAAAATGGTTATCTTTTTTATAAAGCAAACGTATTTCTGGCTAGTATATTTCAGAACGAATGGATAAGAATTGAGCCAAGAGCTTTTGTGAGCAAATCCAATTTTTGGCAGCCAATGTCAGTCACACGGTTTTGCAGAATGACGATACGCGGTTTTGTACTTTAAACGACGATATATATGTACACATATTAGATTATTTATTCTCAAAATGCATGAAAACTATAGTATGCTTGCAAACAATTAATAACATTTTGTGATAAACAGTTTTACAAATGTATTTGCACTTCAAATTTGTATTTTAATAAAGTATTAATTAAATAAATTATTATTGTAAATTATTATTTTAATAAATAGATATAAAGATATTTATACTTGGCAACTCTTGGACTTTTCTTCATTTGTAACAAATGACAGATGTATACAAAATAAAAAAATAATTGTATTTTTCAAATTTAAAGCAAACGGGCGTTCTTTACAAAAAAATGTAGTTAGGGATCGAATTGCGCATATTTTTTTTACAATATCAAGTGCCCACAAGAAATGTTAAACCCATAAATAGCTTAAAAAACGCTTTCGAAAATTCGAAACGAGAGTGAAGTGCAGTGTTCAATTGTGATCGAAATTGCAGGCAAAATTTGTGCGTATGTAATTAATGTTTTACTTATTTGAAGAAATGTTGCCCCTTGTCATTAAAAATAAGCAAACCAAGACCCCCGCGTCCCACTGGTTACATAATACTTGAATAGCCCCTTAATTAACATGTGTTTGTTTTGAGAACGCACGGCCAGTTAAACAGGCATGTCTGAATCGATTTCCTTCATCATTCTTAGCTATTTGATGTGCATTTTTATTGTTATGTGTTGCAAACAGACATTTTAGGAACTAAATGGGTTCTAATCTATGTACTCAAGCGCACTTATTTTTAACAGTTTCCAGTTTATGTAATATTAATCAAAACAGCTTTTATTTATTTTATGTATTATGTGATTTCTGGAAGCGTTGAATACAAAAAAGGGCTGTGACTGGGTTTATGTAATTTGAAATTGTGTTGATGATTACTAATAATAATAGAAAGGCGCTTACATATCGACACAACTAAAAATTTCACATATTTCAGTAGAGCCAATTAAAGATTTTTTGTTTCGTAATTTAGCAATAATATGTCTTGGAACGTAATTATTCCGGATTATATGCAGTCATACTGTAAGCTTTCAAATTATGTATTTTTCTAAACCTGAAACTTTGAATTGCGCCGTTATTGCAGAGGGCCATCGACATATGTTAGTGTTTGGCCGAGCTACTCCTCCGATTGTGGCATGCGCCTTGATGTTGTCGCACAAAGGGAAGGGACCTACAGTTTTACGCCGACTCCTGCCGGGGGCCGACCACTATTACAAAAAACATTTTCTTTTTTTTGTTGGCCGGAACTGGGCTCGGACGCTCACCCTGCGGAATGGTAGTGCGCACTTCTAACCACTACACCACAGCGATCGCCTAATTAATTTTAATCATTAATCGCGTATAAACATTCATTCGTTAATTTTTAGTCATGCATAGACTAACATTTTGTCGACAATACTCGCATAAGATAGTCACAAATTTTCACAAATGAGAAAAGTGATTTTCTTCAAAACTTTTGAATGACGTCTTGACTGAACTTACTAATTCGGAATTTCTACTATTACTTATAGAGTAGGCTATTCATAAAGTCTGGGTAATGAAATAAAAATTTTTCTATTTTAAGTTCCATAAATATAAGGAGACTTTTATTGTTTAATTTATTTTTTGCACATAAACTTGTATCTTGAACTTCTTTTTCCAAAAAGTGAGGATGTCAAAATTTCAATAGATATCGGATGTACGGTAATTTTCCAAAGAGATCTCATAATAGATAAGTTCATGAAAATTGTTCCAAACGAAAACTTAAAATAGATAAAAAAAAAATAATAACTAAATTTAACTAATTTATATTAGAGGTTTGAAGTTTATCCCACTGTAAGTATGAAATCTTCAGCTATGTGTTTCCATTGTCACTTTTTCGTAGCCATATCAACAGCATGACAATTAAGAAGATTGTGACGTTTCATGCTACCATACGCAATATCTTAAATCCTTCAAATTTTATTATTAACCTTTTGTTTGTTAAAAACATTTTCTTCTTAGATTCGAAACTTGATCAAGCAAAATTGCCTTTGTTTTTGACTAAGAGATGCTCAATAAGCTCAGAATTGTAGTTCTCATTTGCATACATAACAATAAATTATTAATTTTTGTTTCACACCAACTCCAATATTGAATAGTAAAATATATTTTAATCTTACCCAAATAAACAACGATTTAGTTCAATCGTCAACCACATGTAGAGTATAGGGTGGTAATGTGTTAAAGTTTTAAAGTTTTTAAACGTAAAATGACGGCTAATACCTTTTTAAGCGTTTTGTAATTTAACCAAAACTCATTAGCATCCACTCAAGCAAGGAATTATTTACTTTTCAACATGCATTAGCAGAGTGCACTTCTATTTTGTTTACAATTTGGTTGTCAAACACACTACATCGGATCTTTTGACACATTTACCAGAATTTACCACCAGGTAGCTTCTGACAAAGAGATGACCTTACTTACTCTCTTATTTGTCCTCTCAGTTGCCAGAAAACCATGTACGATTTCCGGTAAAATCTGGAAATTCTGCTAAAAAATGTTAATTTCGGACTCATGCGGGTTTACAACTAAATAATATTGGGAATACTTTTGAGGTGTTTGAAGAGGGTTGCGACCTGTTTGAAACTAAATTTATTTATAATAATCATATTTTGGCCTTGACACTTTTGCTAAGTTTTGGCCGAGCTTCTCCTCCGATTTGTAGCGTGCGCCTTTGCTGTCACACAAATGGGAGGGACCTATAAACTTACGCCGACGCCGAACGGCGATACAATTTTTATGATGAGCTATCTTTTTATTAAAGACACTAAGATTTTTAAAATATTTTCACTAAAATTTTATCAACTTAAATGTAAAGCTTATGCGAAGTAGTTATCTAATTTAATGTAAATTTTAAACATTTTCAAGATAAAACATGAATTATATTTAAAACGTAAATGTTAATACAACTGTTTTATATATAATCCCAAACATATGATATAAAATCCCCTCTACCAAAAAACTTAAATTGGGTAACGCCGGTTTGAATTTTTACAATTGAGCAATTGTCAAAAATCTTCATTTTTATCAAAAAGTTATTTACCAGGGTGGCTTTGAACTAATGATTGGTACTGAGTTAAAGAATGCACACACATAAAAGATTGCAGCCTTTTCAATACTCATTCAGTGTTAAACCTTTTTTTGATTGGGCATTGGTTTTTTCAATCTTGCTATGAATATGTTGATGTGTGAATTCATAACTGCTTTGAGAGAATGGAAAATTCAAAAATTTGAAACCTCAATCCTAAGCGAAGAATAAGTAATGAAAACTGGATAGAAAAAAATTGTTGATTTAAAATTGAAAATGATTTCACACTTACACAGCTCTGTCGCTCACTTACTAAAATAGTAGTGGTATTCATCTAAACCGATAACTTTATCAAGCAGATAATCTTATAAGTTTATGCACTCTGTTACATGAACGACCCACACTCTCTTTTCGTTTACACATGCGACAATAGTCGTGTTTTCTTTGGTTATAAAGCGCAGTGTCACTAACTTTATACTACTAGCACGGGGATAAAGAAATTATAGAAACTACCTCACTAAATTGAAAAAAATTATATTTGCGAGATATCTATTTAAATAAATGTACATATAAAATAAAGGCTATTTATTTGAATCAAGTTATAAGAAACAATGGCAGAATGTCTGTTTGTGTATGAATTCATTTGTCACGGCTACCAAACTTTGCGAATTATCAGTGAAACAAAACAAACAGACGGGATAATAATTGAACCAGATCTCTATCAGGATCATATCGTTGTTGAATTTGCGTGCAAAATTTGTATGCGGACCCCGATTATTGCCTAAGAAAACATAGCTAGAGTTTCGACAGAGTTGCATTGTCTTCAGTTTATCAAGTTTATTCAGTGAAATCGCTGGATAAATTTATCAGAAATGTGTAGACGAGTTTCCATACAAATTTTGACAGTTCATTTATAAGGTTTACACAATTATAAGTTTATACGGTTTACAATGCATTTATAAGGTTTGATGAATACCCTTAGTGTTAATAATAGTTAACACAAAAAAGGGAACAAATATTCCTAAAAATTATAAAGCAAAACAAAAACAATTTTTTCCAATTTGTTTTTGTTTTTCCTGTTAAATTATGGAAACGATTTATTCACATGGAGTTGGAGATAGGGCTGAATAATATTTTGTTCTAATGAGATACTGGTAATCGATACAGCTATGAAATTTTTGCACAACATAGAAGTAGAAGTAGCGGGAATACATATTTAGCTCAATATTTGTATTTTTTGGATTAAGACACTATTAAAGTAAATGAACTATAAGGGTTTTAATAAAAATTCCAACTGGAATGCTCACTGCTTTAAAATTTCCTCGCTTCTAAATGTACTGACGATTTGGTGTGCGAATCACAAATGTATTTGTTTTATAGCTATTTTATATAAAATAAAATACGTGGGAAAGTTGCAACATGGTGGACCCACGTCTCTTAGGCCCGTTACTATTATGAAATCGAAAATATACCTGTATATTAAAAAAACGCCATTTATTATATAAATTTGCTAAATATTATGCTATTTAACTTATTTACGCCTTGGCATGTGCATAAAATATAAAAATTTATAGGTTAAAACCTGAATATGCTCCCAACTCTGAATGCTAGATTCATCTTCAATCATTTGCTTCGAAATTTCCAAATTATCTACCGGATACTGATAGGGCTGCAATGGCTCGCTAAAATCTGGCCCATTGGCGGTATCACTTTAAACGAGTACTGATCGTAAAGCCATTGTAGTGTGTCATTGATTAGATGACGTGAGTCCAAACCATAAAACGTCCACCTGGTTACAAGACACAATATGCCTCACGCAATACCTGCAAAAACGAACACAAATAAGAAAAATTCCACAATTTATCAGTTGTTAACTACAAAAACCCCTTCCCCCTCCTACACCACACTCACCTTGTCAATGTGCGTTCAAATGCGAATGCCAAATGCGATTTTATATGCCGTATAGCAATTGATTATCAAATTTGGCTGATGTTCTTCGGTTCACGTTTCTGAGTCCAAAGTGCGTGGTGCAATTCGTTTATATAATAAAGTGTAGATCAGATTTGGGCAGTAAACCAACTAATTGGTAACACCTCGTCTAACACTGGAGATATTGTAACATATCGTCATGCGTGCTGTTACCTTTCGCGAAAACTCGTATTTTTACATTTTCTTTCACATCGGGATATCAGTCGCTGCGATTAGTAGCTGCGTTGATCCAGCAAATAAATGATTCAAGGAAATTTCTTCCAATATTGCTGTATGAATTCGCTTAGATCAATCTGAGTCATCAGCAAATTCAAAGCAAAATAGCAAATTGACATTTCTCTTTTGTGTGTTCTTTGCTGGTTCTTTGCGACACCCAGCGTTTAGTGGTGTTGTCAGTGTTCCGGTGTTGCTGGCGCCATTGTGTTACAGAGTGGTGTAAATCGGTATCAGCGCCCGTAATTCACCTCTCGGTATCAGCGCAATGGCGCGGCGCCGCACTGTGTTACCCACGCCTATAGATCACGCCGATTGGACCAACTTCGCAAGACACGTTGATCACGAATTGGGCGCTCGGTCTCAATCCAACTCCCCGAGCCATGAAGGTTCTAGCATTGCTGAAGCCATTCGTATAGCTGCAAACCGTTGTATTCCTCAAGCATCCCACTCCCGTAAAACCCATGTACCATGGTGGAATAAAGAACTCGCGGTATTCAGAAGAGAGAAAATGCAAGCATGGCACAAGTTTAAAAATACCCCTACACTTTCACACCTCATAGATTTCAAAATATCTAATGCAAGATTCTGGAGAGATGAAATCTCAAAAAAATTCAGCTTCTTTAAGTTCACAGAATTTATTTCACCCAACTCTTCTACTACCGATATTTGGAATAAAATTAATTAGCCATAGAAACCCATATAAACCTATCCTTGGATTTAAAACCAGCAATCACATCTCTTCTGACCCATCCGCGATCTCCAACCAATTTGAAATTGTATGGTCCACTTTCTCATTTGATACAAAGTTTCCCTATCATTATAGAAGGGACAAAAATCGTACTTTGAACCAGACGTGCCCCCTAAGGGAGATGCATCGTAAAGCAGAGCTCATTGAGAAGCTAATCACAATGACCGAACCTGTATCAGAAAAGTAAAAGGAAGAACCCCTGATTTCGACAGAATTTCCTATAAGATGATCAACGAAATGCCTGCGGTTGGAAAATCCCGATTCCTCCGACTTCACAACAATATTCTAGACACAGGAACCATCCTGCAAAACTGGAAAATCGCCACCATCATTCCCATACCAAACTCAAACCAAAGTTCTCTTTCAACTAATGGTTATCACCCTATATAACTTCTTTCTTGTCTTTCGAAAGTACTAGAATGGATAGTAGCAAGTCGAATTGCATGGTTTACTGAGACACAGCACCTCATCAACTGTAATCAAGTTGCTTTCAGACCCAACAGAGGCTGCAACGTTGCCCTCCTTCACATTGACTACTATGTCACGAAAGCCCTCTCTGCCTGCAACCACGTCTCTATCCTTTCACTTGACTTTGGGAAAGCATTCAACCTAGTAGAACCCCAGGAGTGGGCCCCAAAATATTTTACTTTGTCAAATCTTTTTTAAAAAATCGAAAGTTTCAAGCAAGAATTCAAGACGCATACTCCGATATACATATATCCGTTAGAAAATGTAATACCTCAGGGTTCCCCATTATTTGTAATCCTTTTCAGCATCGCCTTTAATGAAATAAGCAATATTATAAAAACCAACCGTTTTGTAGATCACCGTCTCTATGCAGATATGATATGTACATTTTTTCAAAAGAAACAAAAACGTAAGACAAACCTGAATACCAAAAGTTTATTGAAGGATACCTTAAAATGGGGTGACTACTCCGGAGTTAAAATATCTTTGGAAAAAACTAAAAACTTTCATATATGTAGAAAGCACGTGTGTGATTTCCTCAATCATATATGGGTGTTTCCACCGGAAGGTCCACCACGACGAAAAAAATAAAAGTATTATATCTAACGTATTTACGGGCCGATTTGTCTGCTTTTTAAAATATATACTGGCTATGTAAGTAGAATCATGTTTGCGTAAAATGGTCTTCTTAGGTGGCGCCAAGGTTGAGATATTTCGAAAACCCGTATTTATTATCCGATTTGGTTCGAATTTGGCGTATGTAGTTGAAACATAATAAGTCATAGATTTCCAACAAATTTACCCTGAATTGGCGCTGAAGTCAAAATATAAAGTATATCCTACATAAAATACATGTTTTATTTGCGTTAAAAATTCATTTAAAAGCAATATTACCAAAAATATAACGATGGAAATTTATGTCACGTGACGCCACGCACACTTGGGGTTGTAAAAAAAATTAAAACAAGTTGCATTAATTCAAAAAACTCTAAAAACAACTAGAATTGCTCCAAACCATATTAAAATAAGTTTCATGAAAATAGCCATCCACAATTCGCAGTGCTTTGCGATTTTGTAAGAAAAGAAAAAATCTACTTCCATTTTTTGTCACGTAACGACACTCCCTTTAAATGCTTATATTTCAGGACCAAGCGGTTCGATTGTTTTCATTTTTCTGTTAAATATAGAGCTAATTATGTGCTATACAATGGCCAAAAAAAATTTAAGAAAACAAATGGTATTCCTTGTTTGTATCACATTGAAACGTACGACTGTCACGTATGCGACGTATGAAAATACCCATATGAGGTATAAATAATATTGAGATCGAAAATGTAAAAAAACTGAAGATTTTAGGTATTATATTTTCTCATAAGTACCGGTGGACCTGTCACCTGTCTAATCTAAAAAAGCATTAGCTGCCAGAATAAACATTATTACATACCTTGCAAGTAAAAAATCTCATATACATATTAGTACGATTATATATTTAAGCAAAACACTACTTCTAAAATTGACTACGGACTCTCCCTCTTCTGCTACTCCCCAAACTCATCACTTAACATCTTTAAGCCACTATATCACCAAGCTGCGCGAGCGAGTATTTTTGCGTTTCGTACAACTTCCATAAAAAACCTTTTAGCAGAGAGTGGCTTACCAACAATTGAAGAAAGAGTACACCAAATCCACGCGAGACTAATTCCTAAACTCGTTTTTCCATCTAGCTCCATCATCGACAACGAAATCAAAAATATAAACCACGTCACAAGTCTTCCAAGATTTTCTTCTGCTATGCATCGAGTACTTGGAATCGCCAAGGAGCTGGAGTTATCCAACCCGGCGTAATGCTACCAAGAACAAAACCCACCATAGGAGATCAAGAAAGTATCATGCGACCTTAGTCTGTCCAAATTTAAAAAAAAAGTGATACATCGCCTGAAATATTCCTTTCTATGTTCAATGAGCGCAAGGCATACCATGAAGCCGAAAACTGGACTTTATTCACAGATGGATGGAAAATGTACCGGCGAGCTTCGCAGGGTTGACACAAACGGCGACACTCTAAGGGTGCAAACCTTACCCGACTGTGCACCCGTCTTTACTGCAGAAGCGGTAGCTTTCTACTGCGCAATAACGATGGATTTGGAAAACGATTGCAAATCCCTTATATGCACCGACAGCAAGTCCGCTCTTAAAGCAGTTCAAACCCTCTATCAAACCCAACCACCAGGGATGCCGTTTTGATCTAAATAGATCCAATTGGATACATTTTTACGAATTTTTGCGGGATACTTATTTTTTCCGGTCAGTATAAACGTGGATACTTTTTCAAAGAGGCCAAAATTTTATATTTCCTATAAAGTTTTTTTCGTTCAAAAATCGATTTTCATTAAAGATGGTAGAAAACATTACGGTTTATAAACGTATAAAGAATCGCTACTTAAGCGTGAAATTAAAGCATTTTATTTTTTGTGAACGAAGCAATGAACATATGAAGAGATCTCACCAAAATAGGTATAAGCGCAATTGCTTCAACTAGCTTAAAAGGATGCTTTAAGCAAGATCTTAATAAACATATCGTCGTTTAAGGTACAAAACCGCGTATCAACAAAATGCAAAACCGCGTATCAAGATAATGCAAAACCTCGTATGTGACGTTGCATAAATTATTTTCTAGAGAGTAAAAACACTTATATTTCAAAATGGTTCTCTTTTTTATAAAGCAATTGCACTTCTGGCTAGTATATTTCAGGACGAATGGATAAGGATTGAGCCAAGAGCTTGTGTGAGCAAATCCAATTTTTGGCAGCAAACGTCAGTTACGCGGTTTTGCAGAATGACGATACGCGGTTTTTTACTTTAAACGACGATATATATAAAGTAAATTATGCTCTTTCTGTAGTAATCTCTTTCATATCACATATTTTCATTTGTTAATTTAAAAAGAAAGAAGATTTCAATGTAGTTTAAAAAACTAAATGTGATTTATTTAAGGAAACTTTTATGAATTTTACTGAAAAAATTTTGTTTATTTGAGCATATTGAAAGAGGTAACCAGATTCCTCTTTTAATGTGTGCAAATTTGCACGCCGTGTAATAAAATTAATCATTGCCTGTTTACTTTTACACATAAAATGTTTAAAATAAAGTAATGTTTATTATTAGTAGGAAATCTATTTGTAGTTTTAAAATTTTTGCAATTTTAAATGTTCTATATATGTGTATTTATGTGTATATTTTAAAGATCTCAAGTTCAAAATCAAATACTTAACATCCTATACGTATATTTATACAGATTCTTGTTGAAAAATAGATACTTTTCAGTAGTAGTTTTACATACTCTTTTTAGAGTGTAATTGCTATTTATTATATTTACTTTGCAAAATACTTATGCACAAAAAATGTACTTTATAAATTGAAATTACAAATGTTTGATTTTATGCAGATGTATTCCAAGTCCTTAGGATGGGTTAAATTATGTCTTTTTCATGAAAATGTTTGGGTTTCTTTCAAATTATGAGATGTTTATGTAAAAAAAGAAAATGGGATACATTTGGATACATTTTTGGCTTGGTCAGGGATACATTTTCTTGAGACGGCGCGGAAACACTGCCAACCACCGTTGGCCGAATGAGAGATGCGCTCATTGGCAAGGAGAGAAACTTACGTTTACTTTGGACACCGGGTCACATAGGGATTCACGAGAACGAGATGGCAGAGTGTGCAGCGAAACTAGCTTCCTCAACACCGGCCACATGTGAAAAGAAAGATATGCACGCGACAATTAAATGATACCTTCACACCAAATCGAAACGAGGCTAAACTACACCCATCACTATTACACCACTATAAACAGAGAGCTAACAGCTCCACAATAGCCTAACGGATTTGGAAAACGCAGATAAAACAATTCTCCCGTCTACGCCTTGGCCATACTATAGACACCCACGAACACCTACTGACCGGGGGCCACCCCCCGTCTGTGCACACTGCGGCTAAACTCTCCTTAAACCACATATTTCAAAACTGCTCCGTTTTAGAATTCGCCAGAAATCACTACCAGAAAAAACTGAGTTGAAC